TCCTGCTAAGCGATACGAATTTCATGTCAAAATTAAATTACCAAAATAGGATGATGTCAGATTATTATTGCTATTTTATACACTTTTGTAGGAAAGTTATGTATTATGTATATGTATAAAATGCCTAACATGAGTTTAAAAAAAAAAACTGAAATTGTTCTTTTTAGATTAATAATAATAAATGATGATTAGGTTTGGAGTTGTACTATAAAAATCAAATCTAATTGCAATATCGAAATAATTGAATAAAAGTATAAAGAGCCAGTCTGTTAAAGATTGATTTGTATAATGGCACAAATAATAAAAATAGTGTATACTAACTGGTATATTTCCTGTCTATAGGTCAAAGAATATGCTAGTTATAAAAAATATCTACAAACAACATATTTATGTAGTTAGGGAAGCAAACATAAAATATAAGCGATATCTCATCCAATTTACAATATCTAAGGGCGATATCATGTTTTTGATTCGTTTGTTGGGTTTTTATTCCACAGTGCGGATGCGAATGTTTTAACTCCAATGAAAACTCAACGTTGGCTGTTGCGGTCGACTCGCTGCGTATGCAAATAGCGACAGATAAAACGCAGCTACGTGATGCCTCTGATAAAGTCAATGACAACAACAAACCACAATAACCACCACCACAGCAAAAACAAAACCAACAACGCCCACAATTTAAACATTTGTTTGCAACTAAAAGCGAAAGCAGCTGGCTACATTTTCATTATGTGTGAGTATTTTGTATTATTTTTTGTAATTTATTTTTCATTTTTGCGGTTTGTAGTCTTCTCAAGGTACTCGAAAATCGATGCACCCACCGAAGCCTGAAAACTGGCAACGCTGTAAACGTATATCTGCCCTTTCTTTAAACCTTATACACTTAACATGATTAAATATGAAAATAGAGCTATCAAAAGATCTCGATCATGGGATACCCATGGAATGACCAAACATAATTGTAGTTATAGTGCAAATCATAATATTCCCCATATTTATAAATACGTCTTTCAATAATTTTAGAATATTAATGATTGTCTTAACCCGAAGTTACTTGGCCCGGGCAATGCCGTTTAATATCTCGTACCAAACACATATCAAGTTAACTTCACTCTTTTACAACTATCTCCGCTGCGCAGCAAATTAAGACAACGTCCTAATATGCGATTCTCATGAATTCAAGTAAGATTTAAAAGTGTTCATAGTTTATACTTTTTATAATTTATATTATTAAGTTGGGTTGGCAAACAAACCCAAACTCATACCTATTTTTACATCCTTGCACGATCTTGCTCTCTCTCTTTCTCCCCCTTTTATTTTATTCCTATTTCACTTCCTTGTTTTCAACCCGCTTTCTACTTCTTTTGCTCTGTTTATGATTTATTTATTGAAAACTCTTGTACTCGTAATAGAATGCAACAAAAAATTCATGCGTTAGCATCTGAACTTTTAGGTAAGCACATAGTTATTTACATATTATTATATAAATAACTCCTAGTATGGTATATAACAAGTACTGACGACTTGCACTAATGGTCAGCGTCATGAAATGGCCATCAGTCGGCTGCGTAGGCTTAGTAGCTGAATGCGACACGCGTTCCGGCCGATTGCACTTTAACACTTGACCAGCCTGGGGGTGACACACCCGCGACGGAACCACGTCCGCGGTGGTAACGCGGGGTCACGTGTTGTTAACGTTAACGACTCAGGTAGCACAGGTAATTTTCTGGTCTGTGTGTATGTGTGTTTTACCTGCACTGCGATTTTTTCTTTGAAAATAAAGTATATTTTCCCTTTAAGATGCATTTCAATGGAAACCCGACTTTGATGATCGACGAGACGAAGTTGGCTGCGTTTTATGATGAGGCTGAAAAACCAGTTGTTGTAATTGTTGTTGCATCTCCTGCTCATCATCATAGCGAGGGCTTTTCCCAAGTGCAACTGTTACAACAACAAAAACTAGAAAAAGATTGGCCTCCAGCACATTACCAGTTGCCAGCCGCCTTAGCATTTCTTGTAGCTACGATTACTTTACTTTTAGCCCAGATAAGATATGCACATAACAACAAAGTATGTACATACACATAAATATGTATGTATGGTTAATAAATAAACGTATTTTTGAGGTCGCTGTTTTGCACAATCGATGAGCAAATAGCGAGTGAAGCCTGTCGTTATATGCAAACAGTAGTTACACGCATACTCTATATACAGAGTAGTTAAAAAAAAAAGATCAGTCGAGTTTGGGCACTTCGCACGATACCCTCAAGTGGGCTTTTTTTCAAACTGGCAGCTGTTTGTTGATTGACAGATAAGCAAAGGTGTCCCCAACAAATACTATTTCAATTATCAATGCGTCATTTTCTTAAAGATGATTTAATCTCCTAAACTTCTATTATTGGGAAATTCTAAAGCGACTACACCTGGTAGTTTGTGTTCGTTAGACTGGATAGTTCAAAAAGGAAGACAATGACGAATTTACTATTATAATAAATTGTTTATAATCTGCATAAGAATGGAACCAAACACACCATTTTTTAATGACATAATATTTAATTAATGCTCAGAAACTCAAGACTAACATAAAATCTCTGTGTGGGAAATGTGTTGTGATTTCCTTCAATTATAAAAAGCATAATTTTTTTTATTAATAGACGGCTTTTATCATTTTAGAATTTAAGATTTAATATTTTACAGCTGTAAAATTTATTAATCTCGTAGTTATTTTAGTCTATGGAATGATGCCAGTTACCCATTTATACAATATAATATCTTTCAGCTTTAAGATAGTCAAGGACCTAGAGCCGCCAAAGACCCAGACTTAAAGAACTTCTGAATTAAAAGATCATAGGTATTTTAGTACGAATCATATTTTAGTCGCTTGTCTGTACTTCTTGAAACTATTCAATACATTTCATCGCTTCATTCAGTCCAACCTGGATTAATATAAAATCTTTAGTATGCTAGACTAGATAAGAAACTTTTTTCGATATAAACAATCTCATTTTTACGACAACAATTCGATTTTAAACCATGTCGACACATAAACACTCTATAAATTATAATTAATATTTTATTGATGCAATTGGGTGCAGCTTTAGGTATTACTCATTAAAATAGTATTTATGCTTAGGTGTTGCCATTCAAAGCCCTGCAACGACCGCCTTTTTACGTATTGGCACATGTCGCTTTGTAAACAAGCAACAATAAAGGCCACACCAACAACAATAAACACTCTCCTTAACAACATACATACAGTGTACTCAAAAAAATGTAAGTGGCTCAGCAAAAAATTGGAGCCCACAATGGTGTCATATGAATTGTATGTATTTATGTTGTTATTGCCCCAATTGAGCCGCTCTCTTTCCCTAAAACATGCTCTCACACATACAAGCACTCACAATTGTCAACTGTCACTCTCCTAAGTCCTGACTATGTGCAGCCGCACAAACACTCACCTGTTGCTAAATAAATTAAAATGAAGAGAAATATCCATTGGGGGGCTGAATTGGCGCGCTTGAGCAGCAGCGTGTACTTCGACGTCATTTGAGCTGCGCTTTTCGTGCGCGCACGGCTCAGTCGTTGTTGCTGTCTCTGTTGATTTGTTGTTTGCTGTTGTTGCTGTTGTGTGACGTGCGCGTTAGCAGCGGTTGCTGACGCATAGACGGCAGCAGAAGTCATAGCCATGATCGTTTTAGTCGAATTGGAGGTTTTTTGTAACTTTTCGGCGATAGACTGCAGTTTTTATTTTCTATTTATGTGAATGTGTGTGGTTCAAAGGATTTGCTTCGAAGTCGTAGTGCACATTGAGCTAAAGTTGTCTTTTGTTTGGGTCTCTCGTTGAGCTTTTGTTTATTGCCTTTAGCTCTCTTTACACGTATTGGCGTGCGGGTATGTGTGTGTATGTGTAACTTGCACTTGGCGTCAAGAACAGGTTTTAGTTTTCAGCTACATAAAAAATTGCGCGGCTGCTGTTGCTGCTGCTTTTATTTTACACTTTCGCACGCGACACTTTCTAGCATGAATCTAAATTTGAATTTGAGTATTGAACACACGGCAAATACTCGAGCTAGCAATGGCCATTATAGTTTGATTTGTTTGCGTATTCATAAGAACAAATACACACACACACACTCTCGTACCGTAAACATAAACGAACGAGTTGGCTTAAATGCTTCTTTTGTTGCTTTCCACCAGGTATTGTTGTGTTATTGCTTTTGGTGCTGCTTTGACTTCTGGTCGTCGTTGTTGTCTGCCCTTTTGAACTGCAAGCAGCATTGGCTGCTCCACCAATACACGGGCGCTGGCTTGCATTGGCTAACACTAACACCTGTGCACACTAGCATAGAATGACAAAACGAATCAATTTCCGTTGACCGCTCCCACAACTAAAAACGTCCAACACGCCCGAGAACAAAATGCGAACTGAATTGCGCGCTCGTAGTCATGTAGAAGGCAGACTTTGAGTCAGACGTGCTCGAGCGCTCACATTTAGACCTAGGCAGTAGTGTGTGAGAGAGAGACAAATATTGTCTGTTAGCGGGCAGGTGGGGTAGATATGTGAAGACAACAGGTAGTAAAAAACAATCAGAGTTGATCGATTTATAATCTGGAGAACAATCGAAATGTACAACGTATATCGAAACTTAAAATAATGATACATTTTGAAAAGTAAATTTTTTCGTGTAAATTAAAATTAAAATTATGTCTACTATACCTTTTGCGGCAGACAAAGGCTACAAATCTTTTGCAGAATTTATATACGTTAAGTTACCAGTTAAGGAAATGCTTATGTCTAACGTCCTACCTAATTAAAATAGAGCCAAAAATGACCAAATACCGAAAAAATACTGAATTTATTATGAAATATAACATGCCGAACTTGTATGAATATATAACATATTTTATGGTCAATTCTTTTTCAATTTATTATTATTGTGATAGTCAATTCATTTATTTCTCGTTTTGCACTAATTCTGATAAATAACCAATAAATACCGGTAAATCATCAAGAGCATTTTACAACACTTGCTTTGTTGATCAGAACAACAAACCCCAAAAGCCGTTAGATAAAGAGGAAGACGCTGTGAATCGTAAATTTACCAATGCTTATGCGATTTGTCGCCGCATTTGACACAAATATGCACATAAGCATAAAATGAGCTGCATAAATGTGGCCATAAATCACAGCGCACGTGGATATGCAGTCGTACGCAATGCAAATGAATATGCCCCCAAATGTCGGCGATAAAATGCGCGCAAACGCCGTCACCCAAATCGCTTATCAACTAAAACACAAAAAGCGCCGCCGCCAAGTCGGCAAATTTTGAAGTTCTAGGTAAGAGGAGCTGGCAGTACAGACGTATCTCTATATATAGTCGCACCCACTTTTAGCACCACAACAGTATGCGAATGTCGCAAAATGGCAAAGTTACAAACAGTTTTAACAATTTACTTGCTTCTTGTTTGCGTCGTGGCTCAAAAACGAGCCGTTGGGGAGGAGAAATACTACGATGACGAATTGATTGACCTGTCGGAGATGGGCGAGTCGATTTTTGGTAATCCGGATAGTGAAACTACTGGAGCTTTGGTGGACGCACAAGATGAGCATTCGCAACAGAATCCCGAAGAGCTGGGCACCTACCACGAGGGTGATATACTAATACCACTTAATTACCGGCACGTTCGCACCGACGACACACGTAATGGCCTCCTAGCGGTAAGCACACGCTGGCCCGGCGGCGTGGTTCCCTACGAAATCAAAGGAATATTCACATCCCAAGAGCTGGGCAACATACAACATGCCTTTAAAGAGTATCACGACAAGACTTGCGTGCGTTTCAGGCCGCGCACAAACGAAAAGGATTACATTTCCATTGTAAACGGCAAGTCTGGATGCTGGAGCAGCATTGGACGCCTAGGAGGTCGCCAAGAGGTCAACCTACAGTCACCCAACTGCTTGCGCACATATGGCACACCCATACACGAACTTATGCATGCGCTGGGCTTTCTCCATGAGCAAAATCGCTACGAGCGCGATGCCTACGTGCAGGTGCTGAGCGAGAACGTAAAGCCCGGCATGTTGGCCAACTTTGATAAGGGCAGCGCCAGGACACAATCGGGCTTTGGCGTTGATTATGATTATGCTAGCGTGATGCATTACTCGACCACCAGCTTCAGTAGGAACGGACAGCCGACACTAAAAGCTTTGCGCAGCAATCCTGATGCACGCCAGATGGGACAACGGCGCGGCTTCTCGCCCAGCGATGTACGCAAGATTAATGCGATGTACAAATGCAAACTCTAAATAGATTTTCTCTGTTTTCATTTATTGAAAAAATACAATTCTATATAACAAGCGCATGTGTGCTGCATTCTAATAGATGATGCTCCTCAGTGATGTGGCAGATTCTTGTTCGTCTCGAAAAAGACATTGCCCCTCATGGCCAGCTCCTTGCAGAGCGTTGAGAAACGCCTGATGGCATTGTAGGTGCTGTTGCCGATAGCCGCATCTTTCATGTACGAAACACACACAAAAGTACACATATATATATTTATATACAGTTTAATATTTTAGGTCTACGCCTGACTCCGTAGAGTAGCAGCATGCAGGGTTAAGTGTGTATCTAATGATCGTATATTGTATGATAATATCTGTTGTGGCTACGAGTTGCTCCCACGCAGCTGGCTCGCTTGTTAGTGGGGACGCGCTTTACAGAATAAGTTCACCTTACCTGCGCCAAGGGCGCCATCGCCACCACACAGATCCATGTTCATATATAACCCCATATTGCCCGTTGAACCAGGATACGAACGATTGTTCAGAAAGTCCCGTATGTGCTGCACAATCAAATCGATGGCCACTGCAAAGCAAAACACAGTCGGATATAAGCCTGGATTAAACTCTAATTCAATATGTTTGGCATCTAGCAAAATAGTTGGTTATGTAATAACTGATATATAACGCAGCAACTCAACAAATGAAGCACTTAGGTGTGATGTCGTTTTTGCCACTTACCTTTTGGCAACTGCTGTGTATGCCAGGGGAGCCTTTGTGGCAGGCACTGGAAACTATACTGTACTCACTTGACAAAACACCTGCTTAGACTATATTCAACTTTAAGACTAGCAACAATTTAATTTACTTATAGTGATATCGTTTTTCTTATATTCCACTGCGAGATCTACTTAAATGTGTACGTGTGCGCGAAGGGTAATATATTAAAGCTTTTATATTCACTTATATTGAAAACTTTACAAGTTGTTTTATCTATTTTATGCTAATAGTTGAGTTAAACAATTTAAAACTTGTAATAATCGAAGAATTGGATCTAAAAAACCTGCGTTTTAACAATATGCTCTATTTTAGAATAACTGTGGAGTAACAAACGTTAGTATGATGATGGAGAGAAGTGTATATGAAGAATTTTAATTTTAAAAAATATATCTAACTTTATTCGCAAACTGAAAAATCCAGTTGTAACAATTTTATATTTGTAATAATTTGAATGTTGTCAAAAGAACTATTCTAAAGAATATTTTAAGTATATATCAAAATATTTTTCATTCAAGGTTTTCTAAAAAAGTGTATTACCTTTTTAAGAAGTTTAAAATGTAGTAGTCAAAGCATTAACTACTTTTCAGTATAATCCAATTTTAGCTTATATGGTTTTTAATATTGAGTTATTTATAATTTAGGCTCACACACATGTGTGTGACTTGTTAAATAGAGTTAAATTAACAATTCTTGTATGTTTTTAACAATTCTTAAACTGTTTTTGGCAAAAGCGTTAAGTTAATATGTAGGTTTAGCTGGATAAACATATACATACATATGATTAGTTAGGCATGAGAGGGTGAATTTAATCGTGTATTCGACCATTTAGTGCTTAAAATAATTTGGATATTTAACATGAAACTAATAATATATGACAATATTTATTCTTACACAACTGCATAATTAATAGCTACCCCACTTTATAACATAAGGTTTATATATTTGAGCCCGAGTTAGACGCTGAGACGCCAATTGAGTTGGTTAAGAAAGTTTTTTTTCTTTTCAATAAACAAAAAACAAGCTTACAATACACGTTTACATAAATTATACAATGGTATGCATAATATAGATAAATTTTCCATCTTAGGGCTAAATTAATTGGTTAGGATTGGGAAGGACCTGCGCTCTATAATTTGTAGTTAGTGAAAGCTTAACACTGGGCGCGTCGTCAGTTTAGTTAGGATCAGAAAATGTTTTGTTTTTGCTTTTTTTTTTTTTTTAATTTTGCTTAAAAATTTAAAAAAAAATAAAGTAGGGGGAGTTTTAGTGATCGCGCTTCATGCTGGCGGCCGCAGTTCTGACTGTGTTGTTGTGCTGTGCGATGTTGGTGGCCGCGAGAATTTCTCCGATATGGTGTACAATGAGATCAATGGCAACTGCAAGAAATACATTGTAACAACAGAAACGAAAACAAAAACAAAAAAAATCGAGAAACGAGAAGGAGACAACATCAAGCAGGCTATCGTAAAATTGGTTTAAGTTTGGTTAATTGAACGGGCACAGAAAGAGGAAAACCCAAAATAGTAAAAAAATATTATATTTTTTTTTAACATATGCTAGAGACACATATATACAGGAATACCTCTATAAAAGATTTTAACTTAACACTACAAACTTGACACGAGTGTGTGTTGTGTGTATGTGAGTGTAGATAGTTAATTAAGTTCTCAACTGAAGCAAAGCACGTGTACTGTGTGTTTGATCGCACAGCTCTTACCTGTATTATCTGCACCGCGAGGAATGATAACGTCAGCAAACTTTTTGGTCTGAAAAAGTAAGAATTGAATTGATAAGCAGGCAATATTTAATTTGCATATCACACAGTGTTGACAGTTCAGCCGTTCCCAGCTATATTAGGCTATTTTCAGAGATCAGCAACCGGATACGGTGGAACTTTGAACTGATTTAGCTTCTTTCGTTTTTGGCATTCTAATGAAAAGTACTTGTACAAGTTCTGTTTATTGCCAATTTCTGCTAAGAACGCTAATTCTGCTATTTTTATATATTTTTTACTTTGGATTCAGCTACTTTTATTGAAGTGGCAGTTGGCAACACTGCGCTCACTTACCGGCGAGCAAAACTCCTCGAAGGCAGGTTTCACAAAGGTCATGTACTGAGTGAGCACAGCATCCAAGTCCCTGCCACGCTCATTGATATCACGTGGGACTATGCATAATTAAAGATGATCTTAGAGACACATTCAAGAAATCTATACAAGACAAATTTACCGCGCCGCGCTAGACGTGTATCCGAATCGGTGTCCACAAAGAGCTTCATATGAAATAGATCGCGTATTTTGGGAAAATAAAATACCAATATGCCCTCAAAGAGCACCACATCCGCTGGATAGATAACCAGCACGTTTTCAAAGTCCCTAAAATAAAAATAAATAAATAAATAAAAGGGAAATCAATTAAGAGAGAAGGGTATTATTTTACTTACAGCGAATTGGTGCGATAGTCGTAGCTTGGTATTTCAGCTTTTTTGCCCTTGAGAATGGCCTGCAGTGTCTCGTACATGAGCTCCTCGTTGAACGCATCCGGATGATCAAAGTTAAACTTGCCTTTTTGCGCCTTTAGCTTTTCGGCCGGTGTTAGCTCGCGATAGAAGCTATCCTGACTGATGGACACCACCTGACGTTGCGTATCATCCATTTCGGCTTGCCCGAGTTGTTCCATTATTTTCTTGCAAACAGTCGATTTACCGCTGGCTGTGCCTCCGGCTACGCCAATAAGAAACGGAGATTTGACCTCATCGTTAGCTAACACATTTCCGTTGGATAAGCAAACAGACTTTTCTTTGATTATTCCTTCCATATTGAAGGAAAATTGCAGAAGCAAAAGGACAGTGGAAGAGCGCGTTTAACAATACAAAGAAAAACTTTTGCTTTGCCGTTGCCACATTTATAACGCCCAGCTGTGTTAACAGCGCTGTAATAATTGCAGAAATTTAACATTTTTGTGCCTGCTGTTAACAGTTTATTGTGCGCATCAATGGTGGTATTCCTTATTTTATTATGTCCATGATGCACTCCGCAACCTATATTAAATCTACAAGCGTTACTCAAGCAGTTATTAATTTAATTGCTTATTTAATACTTTAGCAGATTTAATATATGATACCAAGCTGTAGAATGTGTTACAAAAAAAATTATTGTTATAATTATTTTATTTTTCGCCTACTGTTACTTGCCTTTTGAAGAATAGGAGAGAAAAACCCAAAAACCAAGAACGAAAAATAAGGTTTAACTTTCGTAGCATGAATAGAAAATTCTAATTTCAAGAACTTTTTTAAACACTATATAAAAAATATCAAGCCAAAATAGAGTGTTTTTTTACGCTTATTTTGAATACTAAATAAGCATTTTTATTTAATATTATGGTTTATACTTAAGTTGAGAATATGTATGAAATGTGAAAAAGAAAAGAGTATTAGTTTTGCTCCAGGCATATTAGAATTTATATATATAGAAGTCATGGCATAAAATGGGTATATGTTATCTTCTGCTGAAGCACTCTCACCTAGTTTCTTAGTTTTAAAACTGCATTGGTGAATACGTTGAAATACTTATTCATAGCAGGCAACCGTATCGTATTGCTGTATCAGGTATTGATCCAGAAAACAGAGTTTCTGCAGAACCCAGTTGTAAAAATATTCCATCTCATTCTGAAATGGAATAGTGGGCAATTCCAGTACGTTGCCGAGCTATAAATACAATTGAGTCCAACTAACTGGCATCAATTCACAGCAACAGCTCGATCATGAAAGTTTTGGTTCTATTGGCTGCTCTGGCAGGCATTGCCGCCGCTGTTGACTACTGTGCTCTGCCCACATGTCTGGACAAGCACATTGCCTGCAACAACAAGGGAGTAAGTGATGGAAGCTTTGTTATTAACAAAAATCAAATTTTGTGCCGCTGCAGAATTTTAGCGAACTATGCCCGAAGGATGTGCGGCCCGTGAAGATTGATGCCCATCAGAAATTGATTCTTTCGCTCTTCAATGAGCTGCGCAACAAAGTCGCCGGCGGCGGTATCGAGAATCTGCCCAAGGCGGCACGCATGGCAAAGATGTCTTGGTGCGAGGAGCTCACCCATTTGGCGTTGTTCAATGTGAAGACCTGCCAGTCGCTACAGGACAAGTGCCGTAGCACCGAACGCTTTGCCTACGCCGGCCAAAACAATGCCATTTTCAGCTACAGCGGTGCCGAAGCGGAGTACACCGACGCTGAGATCATTAAGGAGCAAATTGAGAATTGGTTTGGCGAGCGCTCCAATGCATCTCCTGAAATTCTGGCCAGTTTTCCCGAGGAGCTGCCCAACAAGGCAGTTGCCAAATTCACCATCGCCGTCGCTGAGAAGAACACCCATGTGGGCTGTGCCGCGGTGCGCTTTTCCCGCGACTATTACAACCACTTTGTCCTGACCTGCAACTTTGCCACAACAAATGTGATCGGCCAGCCGGTGTATACACCCGGCGAGCGTGCCACCTCCGGTTGCAAGAATCGCTACGGCGCCGCCTTTGACTATCCTAATCTGTGCTACGCCAAGGAAATCTACGACAATGAGAAAATTGTCCCCGATATCAAGGTGTTCTAAGTGTACCCACTATCAATATATATATCTATATATATATATATATATATTATGTATACTAAAAACAAGCAAATAAATCGTTGACGACCTGAGAAGACGAGCAGCTTGGTTTATTGGTTGATTTTGGCAATAGGAAGGCGTATTTCATCATTTCGCACATCAGACTTGTCAATTTTGAGAGTATTTCGCAAACAGGTGATCTCAAGCAGCTAACAAGACGAGAGACACGTTAGATGGATAAAGAACTAGCGCCTTTTCAATTACCTTAATAATTTTTTGTTTTTAATCATATATCATTTACATAGGAGGTATTCATAGTTCAGACTGTTCCGACAATTCGACAGTTTACATTCATATTTAAGATCGTTGGTTTTTTTTAAAAAACACGTATTATCACAATCTTACACAGGTATACAAAACATTATTCTACATTTTACAAATTGTTAATACAATTTCTCGCAGTTGTGACCAGCGTTGCCAATTTAGCTATTTTCCAACTAATTTAATATTTTGAGAGTTTTTTAAAGCTATTTTTAACGTGGGCAACACTGGTACCTTGTTTTTTATACCCCAGCTGTAGAGGGATTTACAATCATTGTTATTGTTATTATGTTAATAAATATGTATGCTATTTAATTTGTATTAAGTGTCGTCAAAGCCTCTGGCAATGTTTCGTTTGGGCAGATGGGTGTCAGGGAAATGTGCGGGCCAAATCAATCAAATTTGTATTAATTAGTCAAAGACTTCAAACTAAAATAAAAATGAAATTTGTTTAATATTAGCAAATACATAAAATGAGCTGATAATGAGCGGGTCTCGTGAGCGTAGTGTCTGATAATCCAACAACAATTACACTAAACTACATATACAGATACATTTAAATAAATTATACGTAGAAGCGAGCATTACTTTTCCTTGGGCGCCTTGTCAAACAGATACTCCTTAGCCATTTGGTATCCAAGTCCCACGGTCAGGCAGCCCACAACGGTGCCCTGCGCTGCCACACGCAGCTGCATCAGGAAAACGCTTGTGCTCATCGTGCCACGGTTTTTGTATTTGTAGGCACCGATCAGACCCGCCGCCACAAAGCCAGCAATGCCTATGAAAACAATAACAATTAGCCAAATGCGATTGAAAATGTAAGCGAAGCGCTGATTTGTTGTTGCTAGCTGATAATCACCAGACGGCGGCAGCTGACGCACCAATACCAACGCAATACACGCGCCAATAATCGCGACGTCATAGATGTGCTAATAGTATGTATGCATTCATTTTCTCTTCTAACTGTTTTAACGCTAAACCGTTGCGCGCTGTGTTTGCAATTATATCACATCTTACGCGCTCATTTATTATGAAATTGGCGTGTTATTAAAAGTTATGTCACTTAGTTCTAAGCATGTAGCAACATATATACATATGTATCTCCAATTAACGGCGAAGGTCAAGGTGGCATTGTCATCCTTGCACACATACATATGTAATAGGAAAGTTTCCGTGACGTCACATCCTATAGGCCAGCCAGCAGCCGTGTGACTTACCAATCAACATGAAAGGAGAATCCTTTGCCTTGTTAGCGAACTTGTTGGCTTGCGCTACATCATCTTCAGTTTCAAATAGAGATTTTGAACTCATGGTTGTTAGTTCTTTTCCGTTTCTTTCGTTTGCCAAAAATTTGCTTAATGGCAATAACGCGACAGAAGGTTGTACGCAATTGAGTGAACAAGTGTTACTGAACTTGAACCGAATATTCCCTCTTTTGATTTCGCGAAAGTTATCGATAACAAATCAGCTGTTTTATTAAAAGTAATAATAATATCAAAAACAATAAAACACAAAACAAATGGCAAAATTGTAATTGGCGCTATCAATATTAATATATGTGCAGACTAATTTCAATATATTTTTTTTCCTAATTTTATCATATAATATATTTAATTGCTTACTCTTTATTTAAGTACAAATATTATTTTCATAAAATAGATACCAATACCAACCAACTATTTAACAGGATCACGAAATTAAGTTCATTAAACAATTTGACTTAACTAAATAAGTATGTGTAATAATTTAATCAACACTAACAGTGTGACCGCAGTAAGCAAAAGAAAAATTACGCGCTCAGCTGAATATTTTGCCATGACATAAGAAGCGTTCGTTCGTCAAGAGGGGAGAAACGACGTTGGATTGCCGTAGCCCCAACACAAATTTGCATTAGTTTAAAAATTTCAGACTCAAAGTGCTCACACACAACAAACGCAGCAGCGAATACGAGACGACACCACAGCAATGACGGGCATCATATCTATATTAACAAGGCAGTTGCCGCGCAATGTGCAAACTATTAGCCTTAAAGCTATGCGGAATCATGAAGTAAGCGTAAGAAGGAGTCACACGCATACATATTTTGGTCAGCGAAAGTAGAAGCAACAAAAAAATGAAAGGCGTTGAGGGCGGAGGCGTTGCCACATTTCGTGTGTATTGGATCAGTTGTTGTTGTTGCGGTCTTTGCTGGCGGCCGCTTAAGCAAACCATAATGCGATTATGTAATTGAAAAAATATGTATGCAATGCATTAAGGCGCAACCTGCGTGGCAGTGCCACGCCCCCTAAGCCGCATCACGTGACGATCGGCCATCTAACAGCAGCAGCTCCACTGATTGCACAATCAGTGTTTTTTTCTTCTTTTTTGAGATACTAATGCATACTTTTTCTGATTGCGCCCACAGCTTCAGCTCAGTGCCCGTCAGTATTCCCAGCTGGCTGTTGTTGCGGCAGTTCAGCAGCAGCAACAACTGTTCCGCCGAGAGTCGATTACTACTCTGCGCTGCCAAGATGCGATGCGGTAAGAAATGCCATTTACATCATACAGATTGAGTTAATCATATGCATATCTTTCTCCTGCAGGGCCTTGGGCTGGCAGAGCTTTCACACCACCAGCAGCATGTGGTCGGAGCAGTTGGTGAAGGTACCGCCGTTCGCTGATTCCATCACCGAAGGTGACATTAAGTATGTAAAACTACAGTCACTAGATCCCAACATGTGGCTCGCTTAGCGGGGGGCATGTTGTATATTTTGTTGATAGCTTATCTGATGCTTGGTTCTAACAGCGTTCTCCCTCCTTTTCTTTTTTTTTGCTATGAATTATCTTTTTAGATTTTCCTGCAAAGTGGGCGACTCTTTTGGCGCCGATGAGGCCGTCATGGAGATTGAAACCGATAAGACGACCATGCCAGTGCCGGCGCCCTTTGCGGGCAGTGTGACGGAAATTCTAGTCAAGGATGGTGACACGGTTAAGCCTGGACAAGAGCTTTTCAAAATGAAGCCTGGAGCAGCACCAGCTAAGGCAGCTGGCGCACCAGCCCCAGTTGCAGCTAAGGCTGCACCAGCTCCAGCAGCAGCAGCACCATCTAAGCCAGCTGCAGCACCCGCTGCGGCACCAGCTGCACCGAAATCAGCACCACCTCCGCCTCCACCGCCAGCTGCACGCCCGCCACCGGCGGCCCCTCGTGCTGCTGCACCGTCGCTAGCTGCTGTGAAGCCCGCCGTGGCCCAGGTGAAAGTGCCTCCCGCTGATGGTTCGCGTCAAATTTTAGGCACACGCTCCGAGCAGCGCGTTAAGATGAACCGTATGCGACTAAAGATTGCTGCCCGCTTGAAGGATGCACAGAACACTTGCGCCATGCTGACTACCTTCAACGAGATTGATATGAGGTTAGCTTGCCAAACAACTCTTACATGCCTTGTATAATCCGCTTCGATATCTTTGCAACGACAGCTACGCGATGGACTTCCGAAAGGCGAACCTGGATGCATTCACCAAGAAGTACGGAATCAAACTTGGATTCATGTCCATATTCTCGAAAGCCAGCGCCTATGCGCTGCAGGACCAGCCCGTAGTCAACGCCGTCATCGATGGTCAGGTAAACTAACCCAACTGAGTCAATTGTGACGCTCCTATTTATTACCTTATCACACGCTATTATTTTGTTTACGCAATTACCCGTCGCTATCTGATAGTCTTCTGATAAAACGAATCTCAAATGATAGGAAACTATTTTTCGTAGATATGCACTTTAATTTTCTGAATCTAATATTTGTCAACCACATTTCATAAGAAATTCAACACTTCAGTTATGTTGTATAGCAGCTAAACGATAAAGTAATAGGATATTGATTAAAACACGGTAAAAACTCTATAAGCCAATCCATAGAAGGTGTCATATATATCATATTATTATTCTAATTAGATTAAATACAGCCTGCATTCATTTCCATGTCCCAAAATTCTTGCTAGCAAAAATTAACTGTGACAACAGGTAGAAACAAAGTCGGTTTTTTGTGAAACAGATATGAAAATTGAAAATTACTGCTGAATTTGAATCGGCAACTTTCCGCATATTTGTCAGAAGCTCAAGCACCAAAGCAATACGGGCTCGCGACGTCACGTTCGCAAAGCTCACTTATATGGCTGCATTAGTTCTTTGTTTCATAAAGTCTGACCCCATTTGGAGGTTGAATTTCCTAAAATAACGCTTTAATGCTAACCAGACTCAAAACAAGGCTGTTATATGAAGAATTCGTTTTGATCTTCGAATCAAGAAAATATATTCATCTTAGTTCTTGAACCTGTTTTATTTAACCATAAAGCATTGACTTAGCTTGTTTTAGCTTTGTCAATCTTTTAATATAAATGCTTATTTTAAGTACTTAAATTAATTTTGGGGATTTGTTTATGTGTATGACTGTCATACCAGTTTTTAAACTCGAATATTGACAATCATTTAAAAAATTGCAAAACGAGAGAGATAGGACATCTTTAGGGTTTTATAGAAATGTCAGAACAATTGCTGAGTTTTATGAAAATACCTTGGAAAACACAATATTTTGCCATGATTCCTTATTTTATAAAAACAGACAGACAGATGGTCATGGTTATATCAATACGGATGTTTATGCTGACCCAGAATATATATATTTTCTGGGGTCGGAGATGGTTTCACAAATGTTTTTGTTGTTAACTTAGTTATAATTATTAGCAGTAACAGCTTAAATTCAATAATTGTATATATTTTATACTGTAAAAACCAATGAATTCTCGTTTTTATTTTAGTTATCCGTAGTTAAATTTAAAATAAACCAATACAAGATTTGTATGTTTTGCAGGACATTGTGTATCGCGACTATGTGGATATCTCAGTGGCTGTGGCCACACCCCGTGGCCTGGTTGTGCCTGTGATCCGTAATGTGGAGAGTATGAACTATGCGGACATTGAAATAGCTTTAGCCGGGCTGGCCGACAAGGCGAAACGCGATGCCATCACTGTGGAGGACATGGACGGTGGCACCTTCACCATCAGCAACGGTGGCGTCTTTGGATCACTAATGGGCACGCCCATTATAAATCCACCTCAGAGTGCTATCCTCGGGATGCATGGTATCTTTGAGCGCCCCATTGCAGTCAAGGGCGAGGTATGTTATTGTCTCTTCATATAAAAGGAGTTCGATTAACGTTTAATATCGCCTGCAGGTCAAGATAAGGCCCATGATGTATGTGGCCCTCACATACGATCACCGAATCATCGATGGACGTGAGGCGGTTCTGTTCCTGCGTAAGGTGAAGGCTGCTGTCGAGAATCCAGCCATCATTGTTGCCGGTCTGTAAGGACGGTTGAAGTCTGTTAGCGCTGCGTCCACGTTGTTCTAATGATATTTTCGAATCGGTTATTTAAAACTGAAGCACAGCCAAATTCATTGTATAAAACGGAACTTTTTCATTTATGTATTTATTATAAAATTAACGAGTGTGTCACAAATCGACTTAAATTTTGGGTTTAACTAGCGCAAAGTACATACACAAGAAATAATAAAATTTAATAACGACGTGGAATTGTTTTCAAAACATACCCATAACAGATTTATTTTCTGCACTTTAATAACTTATGTAAACAGCACCTGCTGAAAGGCAATATCGTTAATAAATACGATATTGTTATCGACCAGTTTACAGGTGCACTTCTTCTTTTTTGGCTGGTTACTGAGCGAAAAAGTTATAAGGATATCATGGTCGTAATTAGAATATACAAAACCCCGATGGTTGATCAATTTAGAACTGAAAGGCACTAAGTATTTAGTCTAACTTGCTCTATTAGCTTTTTATAGCGAAATACTGCAAAATCACATTTTCTTCTCGTATTTGTGGATCTTAGAGAATTAATAGAGAAATAGAGAATAGAAAAAAAAAACTTTAATTCTGAGTAAAGATACACACGATTAACCCATTGGCATATATTAAGTAATGTTTCGATTAACAACACATTTTAAGCTTTAATCAGAAAACTGACAATTCAGAAATGGATATTTTGGTATACGCATTGCCTACTTAGCAAGTATATATATATAATACTCTGGCGTCAGGTCAGGGCAGAAATCACAATATTTGTATTACGACTTTTTATTCATTAGTTTTTTAATGTCTTAGCTTATCCTACTTATTCTTCTTTGTGAATTTAACATGTAATAATTAAATATTTTGAAAATAAATGACAAACAAAGGTTTGAATTAAGAGCCTGGAATCCTGGATGTGGAAAACCGAACCTAGAAAATATTTGTATCAAGTGGTTTTGTGCACAAGAACAGAAAATTTCCTGGATCAGCCATATTGTTCAGATATTTATCTCATAACTGAACTATCGAAAGGGAGAAATCGAGAGTTATTGTATCAAGGTTGCTTTGCATTAGCCGGATCCTAATTTTATATTCACTTAAAGATTTTTCACATTTATAAACACATCTGCGAGTAGAAGGTATCATATAGACAGCGATGAGTGTCATTTCCATTTTAACAAGACCTTTGCGGCAAAAAATTCAATTCGTTGGCTCTCAAACCATACGGATTCGAAAAGTAAGTCCAATATTTAAGTAACGACCACGAATAGGGTCAGGGATTTTCGGAAAAATACTTTTACCTTTTCTGGTATTTCTTTCAGGTTCAGATTAGCGCCCGTCAGTATACCCAGCTGGCTGCTATTGCGACAGTTCAGCAGCAACATCTTTTCCGCCGGGAGACGAATTCTACTTTGCGCTGTCAAGATGATATACGGTAAGATATCTAGTCAATCATTCACCCACTAAATAAAATATGGGTAATACGTGAACAGCGATCATATTTTGATCAGCATCACAGGGCGAGTCGCTCTAGGCAGGTCCGTTTGTGTAGAAACAAATTGTGGAGGAATCAAAATTGACATTAAGATTTAGGGGTACGAAATGAAATATCATGGATGACACATAAAAAAAAAAATAACTTTGAGCTTGGTTTGTGAACCTGTCTAAATTCTGCTTTTGGTTCAAATGTTTGGAATATACTTTGAATATGTTAATGAAGCAATTCAATTTTGAAATATTAGATCTTCTGAAAATATTGCAAATCTTCAAATGTGATTAGTTAAATGCTAGGGGCTTAAGTTAATGATTAAATGCTGGATCGTCTTAAAAAGTTTTTTATTTTAAAATAAAATATAGTTTGCTTATGCGTTTCGGTTAGGATGCTGATGGACTGCTTTGGTAAAAGGTTCGGTCCACAATAAAAATAAATAGGAATTGCCGTCTTGAACAAGTTCGGCTCAAACCCGGTTTTCTGCCTCACACATAACATTTTCTTATTTAATCAATTTTTCACATTAAAATAGGTACAGAGGTTATTTAAGTAAATGTTTGTAATTAAAGGAAATAAAGTAGTTTTATTTTTTCTAATTACAAATAAAAAAATTAATTGAAAATTGTATTCATGTTAAGAAAAATACTAAGTTATCTTCAGTTTGCCTTCTAGACCGACAATATCCATAACATGTAGTATTTAACTTTTTTCACTGCAGTACCTTGGGCTGGAAAAGCTTTCACACCACCACCAGCAAGTGGTCAGAGCAGGTGGTGAAGGTGCCGGCATTTCCAGATTCCATATCCGAGGGTGACGTTAAGTAAGTGTCTCAAAAGCCCATTACAAATTTATTTTGTCGTAAATTAACATTTCATCTTTAACTTACCAGGTTTACCTGCAAAGTGGGAGATTCGTTTGCCGCCGATGATCCTGTCATGGAGATTGAAACGGATAAGACGACCATGCCAGTGCCGGCGCCGTTTGCGGGTTCAATAACGGCAATTCTGGTTAAGAACGGCGACACGGTCAAGGCTGGCCAAGAACTGTTCAAAATGAAGCCTGGCGCAGCGCCAGCTAAGGCAGCTGGCGCACCCAAGACTGCGGCAGCACCAGCCCCAGCACCAGCAGGACCACCACCTGCAGCGGCCAAGCCGGGAGCACCACCACGATCGCCAACACCACCACCAACACCACAACGACCGCCACCACCAACTGGTCCACGGCCTGCAGCGCCAGCTGCAAAACCACCCGCGGGCCAAGCTCCTCCGATTACGGGCACTCGCTCTGAGCAAAAAGTCAAAATGAGCCGTATGCGACTAAAGATTGCGGCCCGCTTGAAGGAAGCACAGAACACTTGCGCCATGCTGACCACCTTCAACGAGATTGATATGAGGTTAGCTTGCAAAACAATTCTTATATGCCTTGTATAATTTGCTTTGCTATCTTTGCACCGACAGCTACGCAATGGACTTCCGAAAGGCGAACCTGGATGCATTTACTAAGAAGCACGGTGTCAAGCTCGGCTTTATGTCCATATTTTCGAGAGCCAGTACCCTGGCATTGCAGGACCAGCCCGTGGTCAATGCCGTCATCAGTGGTCAGGTGAGTATCCAGTTTACTCCTTAATAATATTTCTTTATGTGCTTTGTCGTCTCTTTATATTAACTGGGTACAGGGTAAGACAAATTGATAGATGTTGTCAGGGAGATATCGAATATCAAATTCTCGGAAATCATAGATATAAGTTTTATATACCCTTATAATACCCCTAGAGACATATGACTTATAATTTAGTGGCTTAATCGGGCAGCTTCCGGGCCGACAGGGAGACAGATCTATGAAAAGTTTCAAGAAGACCGCTTGAAGGCTGAGAAATTAGTTTGCATAGAAACAGACGGACAGACAGACATAGCTATACCGACTCGGCTTGTAATACTGATCCAGAATAAATATATGGTATGGGATCGGAGATAGAACAATGTTATAATACTCTGTACAAGGCTATAAGAAAGATTGCATTATATTTTTGGGATGTATTTATAATTTAACCCTATAAAGTAGTTTTTATTGGATGTCAACAAAGAAAAAGATCTAAAAACTTTGTGGATATAACCGACGGTAAATACTTTTTTAACAACAGCTATTCGGCAAACTTATTAGGATATATGTATATCGAATAGCTTCCTTTATGCAAGATACCTGCATAAATTAAAGACTGTATTCTTTTCAATGTAATATATTTTTAAAAACTTTCTTCAAAATTCCAATTTGTAGGAGATTATTTACCGCGATTACGTGGACATCTCTGTGGCGGTTGCTTCGCCTCGTGGCCTCCTGGTGCCTGTTATCCGCAACGTGGAGAGCATGAAGTATGGCGACATTGAGAAAACGTTGGCCGGCCTGGCTGACAAGGCGAAGCAAGATGCCATCACCGTTCAGGATATGGAAGGTGGCACCTTCACCATCAGCAACGGGGGCATCTTTGGTTCCCTGATGGGCACGCCCATTATAAATCCACCACAGAGTGCCATACTGGGAATGCACGGCATCGTGCCGCGGCCCGTTGCAATCGAGGGCGAGGTGCGCAGAATTCAACTGAAGCCATGTGTAAACGTCTAATTCAATATTTGTATGTCAATTGTAGGTCAAGATACGTCCCATGATGTACGTGGCCCTCACATACGACCACCGAATTATCGATGGACGTGAGGCGGTGCTGTTTCTGCGGAAGATCAAGTCTATTGTCGAGACGGCCAGCGAGCTGGCTGCCGGCCTTTAGAATCTGTGAAAATTGTTTTGCGCTGTTCACACGTTGTTCAGGTGATATTATAGAAATGGCAAACCTCTTCACAAAGAAGAGCCAAATTGATTGTATTAACCGGAATCCAAATTGCATATTACATTTGTATTTACCTTGTATGTGAATGTTGTAACCCACCGACATTTGCCATTGATTTTATAGAAACATTTCATTGCAAATTTGAGCAAATAATAAGAGGACTATGTCGTTACCGATAACCAACCGTCAGATTGTTGGCTTTTCTCTTAACTCTACAAACTCTCTACTTCCATTAAGTCTGTGGTGAGCAATACCTTTATTAACATCTAAGTTGAATTTTGGAAATAAATTCTTGATGGAATACATTTAAAGAAATCGACCAGATGCAACTACTGAATTATATATTCCATAGACACGAGCGATAAAAAATAAAGTTCTTGTTGAAAAACATTTTTGTATCAAATTACTTGGCATTTACGAAATCTTACCAGAACTGTACGTTTATAGCATAAAGCCACTCATCATACAATACACTATGAAACCGTAACGTCGCTGCGGCTGATGCCTTTTCATAATATATGTATGTTAGTTTTTAATTCCTTACAGCCCTAAAAAATTTGTGTGTATGCATTGCTTTGTGCACTTGTATGCATCTCATTCCTCCTGCATAGTTTTTAAAAAAAACACCGATATCTACAAACAATCATGTGACTGTCTTGTGTGGATGTGCGCATAAGTAGATCACGGCGTTTGTGGCGAACCAGAGATTTTTCCTTCAATGGGTTGGCGTTGTCTTCGGTTTTTTGGTAGATCTTTTTGTGCCTGCGGTAGCTCTATTATGTATTTCTTCGTCCAGTCAGGCATAATGAGAAGAATCTGATCTTTTTTTTTTTAATAAAAACTTAAATGACCTACATAAATGCAATATTTATGTTTTATATTATATTTTTTTCTTGTTTGCTGTGGGAACCTACTTTGCTTAAAATAAAAAAAAACTTATAAGTCTGCAAGGGTCGTCGGTTTGTCAAGGAATTCCGAAAAATACCAAAAATTAAATATGGTCGCAAGTAATCATGGGGCTTACTCGCATTCAAAATTCTTGTTTCGAAGCATCTATATATTGTATAGTTAGTGATATGGCTAAATAAAACGAGAAAGAAGTGCTATCTTCGGCACGCCGAAGATTTAATACCCTTGCAGACCCAACCTTTTCAAAATGCTCATACGGTCTTTGCCCGTATCTAAGAAGCACAGGGAAAATAGTTAATGCAGAGTATGGCTAAGATATCTTGAAAAACAAAACAGGGCTCCATACAACAACTTAATTTTCGACCGATCGTTCCTATGGCAGCTATATGATATAGTAGCCCGATGTGAATAAGATTTTGCATAAGTGGAGGGAGCATAATAAAACTAATAAATGCCGAGTTTGGTCAAGATATCTTGAAAAACAAAAAAAATTCCATACAACAGCATAACTTTCGACCGATCGTTCCTATGGCAGCTATATGATATAGTTGTCCGATCTTAATAGGATTTTGCAAATATATGTGGAGCGTAGTAAAACTAATAAATACCGAGTTTGGTCAAGATATCTTGAAACACATACAAATTTTCCATACAAAAACTTAATTTTCGACCGATATTTCCTATGGCAGCTATATGATATAGTTGTCCGATCTTAATAGGATTTTGCATATTTATGGGAAGCGTAGTAAAACCAATAAATACCGAGTTTGGTCAAGATTTCTTGAAAAACAAACATTTTCCATACAAAAACTTAATTTTCGACCGATCGTTCCTATGGCAGCTATATGATATAGTTGTCCTATCTTAATAGGATTTTGCATATATATAAGGAGCGTAGTAAAACTAATAAATACCGAGTTTAGTCAAGATAACTTTATAAACAAAAATGTTTTTCATACAAGGTATAGTATATATGATATAGTGGTCTGATCCAGCTGGTTTTGACATATGAACTGCGTGCAACAGAAAGAGGGAATTCGGCAAAGTTTCATAAAGATAGCTTTAAAACTGAGAGATTAGTTCGCATAGAAACAGACAGACGGACAGACGGACATGGCTATATCAACTCGGCTGTTGATACTGATCAAGAATATATATACTTTATGGGGTCGGAGATGTCTCCTTCTATGCGTTACACATTTCACGACAAAATTATAATACCCTCTGCAAGGGCATAAAAAGGGATCAGGCTGACATATTATATGACTTCTAAGCTGTATGTCTGCAAGGATATTTTAAAATTTAAAATATTTTTTAATTTTAATTTTTAACTTTCTATACCCTGAACCCATTAAAATTGGGTAAAAATAATATAATGTATTTGTGCAAATAACCATGTCCGTCTGCCTGTCCGCCCGTCTGCCCGCCTGTCTGTCTGTCTGTCTGTCTGTTTGTCTGTCTGTCCGTCTGTCCGTATATGTGCTAGAGCTAGAGACTTGAAATTTTAGCTGTAGGTCCTCCCTGTGTTCGCGCAGAGCGAGCGATATTCGATAACTTGCCACGTTTCCAAGTAATCGATACAAATCGATATCGAAATCCTGTTTTTTGAGCAATTTTGGTAAATAATAAGAGCTTGTCACCAAACTTAACATGTAGCTTCTAGAATAGTATATATATATATCAAGTATCTTTCATTTTATAGCTATCACCGCCTCCCCGCTACTACCTCATAGCTATAAATCAAGTAAATAAACCAATATGCTGCCCACCAATATAAGCCTCAATTTAAATAAAATTCACTTTTTGAGGATACACAAATATTCTATAGCACAAAAAGATCTACTGTAGAAAATTTCATCAAGATCGGTTAAGAAAAAGTTAATAAAGTAAACGTGCTTTGGCTTTCCTCGTATCAGCGGCAACAAGCGCAAAAGCCAAGAATTTCTGTATACATGTACATACACACATTTCTGTGCTGCTATTTTAATTTGTTTTTTTTCTCATTAAGACTCAATTATTGGTGTGGATGTTGAGTAGGAGCGGCGGCGGCTAGTAGTGCAGTCTGTTACCAGTTCAAACCGTACCGAGAAGACTATTTCTTTTTTGGCTGGTGTGGCTGTTGAGTAGAGTCGGCAGCAAGTAATGCTTTGCGAGTTCGAACCCTGCCAAGGGAACTTTTTTGTTTGGTAAATTTATCTTTATTATTACAAACGAGTGCGTAGCGCGAGCTGCATTTGGTGTTGGAATAAGAGGGATCAGGGTATCCCCTAGTCGTGAGCTCCCGACTAGAACCTCTTTATTGTTTTAAATAGAATATTCCTGATATTATTTTGTCTGCAAGCAAGTCCTGGTCTTATGTAACTTGTACTTCTTTATTAAATATTATATAAAAATATTTCTAAATAAAAGAGCACTTTCTATTTTTGTTATTTGAGCAAATTGGCTTGTACAATTTTATTGATTATTTTTGATTGCTTTAGTTAAATATCAACTATTTCTAATGTTTACAAAATGAGTTTCTTTAAAAATATGGTTTTATTTTTAGATAAGAATTAAAGCAAAATTTATGTTTGGTTTAAATGAAATGTAAATAATATCTTGATATTTGTTGTGTACTTAATGAGAATGGTTATTTGTTTTTTAGATCCATCAAAGAGATTGATTAACACAGTTATTTTTTGTTTTTATACTTTTGCTAATTTTTGCTTATCACATATGTATGTTAGAATGTAAACCGAAAGAACTAAGAACTTTGACCTATGTATGTAAAATAATGATGGCGGGGGTTAGGTCGAAAATAATATAAAATATAATATATCATTTATAAGTATGTATGTATATAAAAAATGCAACAATCGTTTCGTCTAAAACATTTTTCACAAGACTGTGGAAAATTAGAAGAATTATCATTTTAGACAAAAGGATTGGCATTATCTACATTTTTGGCCCATTAATTTTTTGTTTTTTTCCTTCTCTGAAATTTGTAAGAGTTTTCTTTTTAGCTTAACTAAGGGGATACAGAGTGTAGTTACATAATTAAATTTACTGTTAGTCATTCGAGTATTTCTTCCAAATATTATGAAAGAGGCCTATGCTATTTGCCTGGTTTAGCTTGTGTTTTGATTTTTAATATTTTTTATTTTTGTTTACTTTTGAGCTAATCTTGGCTAACTATATTGCCCTGGGTATTGGGTCTTGCACTTGTCTTCCTGCAAGTACAACACTCTTAAGTCTAAGCAATTACACTAGGTATCCCCAACCTTGTGTCCAAAATGAACTTTTTTCGTTTCTGATTTTTCTTTTCGTATTTTCAATTTGATTTCGTTTTGGTTTCTCTCTCTGCATAGATCCTAGGCTTTAATAATGGAATTGTTTTCTTCTTTTTTTGTTTTTGTTTGCTGTTTCTGAATGTTTTTCAATATAATTATTGTACAAGATTCCATTTGCTACGATTGGTTGCTGCTGTGTGCTTTCTTCTCTTGATGATTTTGCAGATTTCCAAAATGCATAAAACAGTTTGTTTTTTGTTTTTGCTTTTTTGCTTGTGCCAATAACTAAAGAATTTTGAAGTGTTCTCGTGTGTAAATAAGATACATAACTAAATTTTCAATCAACCCGTGGAAATGGTATGGAATTTGGTTAAAATTTGACTGCTCCTGCATCGATGTTGTCTGCCTTATTTTTTGGGTAAATTTTCATAGTTGATTTTGCTTTTTGCTGCTGCTTTTTAGGGTTTTGGCTTCGATGTTGATGTTGTCGTTTTACAAGTCGGAAATGTGTAATTTCATAAAGAAAGACGGTTTTTTGCTCATGTTGTTCTTGTGTTTGGTGTTGCTGCTGCTGTTTTTGTTGCTGTTGTTGCTGTTGTTGTTGTTGTTGCTGCTGCCAAGTCTATAGATGGTGGTGTTGCCTTTAGTCTGTTGCTTATGCTGCCGCTTGGCCAGGCAACTTTTGCAATGAATTTATAAATCAAAATTTGTCTGTCTAGTGGTCGTTGGAGTTTGAAGTTGATCGTAGGTTTGAGTTATTCCCCAAGCCCACCTACTGACAACCATATTTTATTTATTGATAGCAATTATGCTCCGACCTTGTCTATTGCCAGTAGTTTATATAAATTTACAGTTTTGTTTGATGTGCTCTCAACTGCATAATAGGGCTCTGAGTATGATGCTGAATGGTGGATTCGAGCTTTTGCAAAAGAAACCTAGCCTAACCACAATTTAAAAGGGAGTGCCGCTGGGTGTGGGTGCTGATATGCCTGATATGTGTGCCTTTCGAGTGCGTAGATGTTGTTATTCTGCTGGTTCTGCTTTCATTTGTTGCTTTTTGATTTTCATTTTGATTTGGATCTTGAATTGGATTTCGGTTAACTTGGTGTTTTTGTCTTCGTTTTTGTCAGGCGCAATTAATGCGCTCAGAGGTTTTCTTAAAAACGCTTTCATTCTGTTCAAAGTTTACAATTTTGAGCTATCCAAAATTCTTTGGCTTTGCAATGTGTATGCGTGTGTGTGTGTGTGTGTGTGTATGAGGGATTTGGCTTATGAATTTGGCTGCTGAACTTATTTTGAATTTCAACCCCCTTCTATGCGAAAGTTTTTACTATAATCGCGTGCCTGTTGTTGTTTTTGTTCTGAAATTGTTTTGTTCGCGTTGATTTATCTGCCTTGTCCTATTTCTCTGCCTGTGAGTAGGCCGCCATTTGTAAGATTTTGCCAGAAAGTTTGCCAGGACAATTGCATCCTTGTCGTCTTGCCAGTGCCTGCCTTTTTGCTGCTCTTATTTTACGATTATAATGATTTTTTTTTGCTCTTCTCTTTTTGTCGCATTAAAACTTCCGTTGGTACTTGTAATTTATAATGCTGCTTTTTGGGAATTTCGTTGTAATTTGTCATCTTAATGTGTAATAATTATGCGCCAAAGGGCATCCGAATACTGCGACTTTTCAGTTAATTTGAGTTGGTTTTTTTGGATTTTTTATATTATCATATTTGCTGGCGGTTTTCAGTGATATGCTCAGATAGTTTCGAAAAGCTAGAAATTTACTTGAGTTGCTTCTAGTTTGCTTTTTCTGTGTCACAAGTTTTGGTTGATTTTTGGGCTTATGTTTTGTCAGTTTTTGAATTTAATTGTTGTTATGTTGCACAGATTTTGTAGCTTAAGCTGTAATTTACCTATAGAAACGTTTTATGTTTTGAGTGCTAGATTTTGAATTTTGATTTCCTTTGGAATTTTGTTGGATTTGATGTTTGCAAGAGTAGCCGAAAGTTGGAAATTAGAATTTCTTTTGATTCTTCAAGTTCTAAAATTAAATAATTTTGGTAAAAAATTGTTATTAATTGTTTCAAAATTATGTAGTTTGTCACAATGTTTGCGAAATGTCAATTTAAATATTCCTGATATTGTTTTGGTAAAATAAATGTATTCAAAGGATTGATTTATGTCTTCATGGATTGAAATGTGTTTAGAATAATACATTTTTGGGTCAGTAAATGAATTTAAAGTTTTAAATATAATATATTTTGACAATAATAAGGCATCTAAATTTTGGTTTTCTTTTTTAGTTTCAATAAATTTGCAATTGTAATTTCAGTATGTCAGATTGAATTTCGTTAAAGTGAAAAAGTAATTTAGAGGGTTATTTTTGGGATTTTGATATGTGCAAGAGATTGGGCTTACTTTATTTTGTTTTTCAAATCGCCAAATTAATTTTAAGTTTTAAAAAAAATAAATTAAAATTTATCAGTCTTACAAAATTATTCAATTTTCTCTTTTGGGGTAAAAAAAGCAACTGGTGCGGCAAGAAAATGAAAAAAGGTTGATGAAATTAATGTTTATAAAAACAGGTTTTCTCTAAAATTGGTTAACTTAGAACCAAATTTGATAACTTTCTTAAAATACAGTTTCGAATTTTAATAATAATAATTCTTTGAAAATTCTAAATTTTTTATTTAATGTGATAATAATTTAAAGGAGATTGAAATTGGATTCTTTAAAGTTTTCAAATGGGAATTTGAATTTTGAATAGAACGGGTAAATCGTTTTCAAATAGATTTAAGAAATTTAAAGTTTTAGCATGCCATTGTTTAAAAGTCAACCAAAAAAAAATTAAATAAAATGAATTTGAAGTAAAGTTTTTTAAAAATATATAAAAATATAATACGAGTCAAAATATAGATTTGGAAGACCATATTTCTAAAAGTTTTCATGTACTCCAAATAATAGAAATTCACTTTTTACAACGATTATAAATTCGTATAAGACTTTTTGAAATAATCCAAGGGATAATTTGTTAAGTGACTGATTTTCAATGTAAAATTCAAAAATGGAATGCAATTTTTTAATTTTTAAATTTGATTTGATGATGTGACTTGTAAACAGAAGTGTTTTTGATTTAGTTAAATAGTTGAGTTTAGTTCCGATAGAAATTTCTTTCAAATTTATTTGTAGATTCATTACTAAATGGGATAAATTTTGGAATTCCTTTTTTTTTTTTAATTTTTTAGTTAATAATATATTCATAAAATTTAATATTTTTTCCGCAATGAAAAAAAACCTAGAAATGTACTTTTTACAACGATAATAAATTCGTATAAGGCTTTTTGAAATAATCCAAATGATAATTTCTAAATTTCAAAAGTGAAATGCAATTTTTTAATGCTTAACATAGTTTTGATGATGTGAATTGTAAACAGATGTGTTTTTGATTTCGTTAAATAATTGAGATTTGTTACGATAGAAATTTCTTTCAAATTTATTTGGAGATTCATTACTAAATGGGAACAATTTTGGTTTTCCTTTTCTTTAAATTTTTTAGTGAATAATATATTCATAAAATTAATATTTTGATATGGACAACTTTTACTATTTATGCAAAAAGAGAAATTCTCAAAACGAACGGATAAAAAGGTTGGAACAACTTTAGTAGCTTTTATCAAAAAAGGTTTTTTTTTTTTGTTTTAAATTGATTTTGCTTATTTTGGTGAGAGTAATATTTTGATTATAATTTGAAATTTTACTTTTACTCTTAAAATGTGCACGCCATTTTGCTTATAAAATGTATATAAGTGACTGAGTTTGTGAGTTTAAAGATTTGATTTTTCTGATCAGCAGAGTTCATAAATTTATTGTGAAATTTTTAATGCTTTTTTTTTTAAAGAACTTTTAAGGTCGACTTTAAGTTTAGTTTTCGAGTGAATATCGAGTGAATATATTTTTGTAGTTTTTGTTAATTAAATAATATTTTAGATAGATTTTAGATTATCTCTGAATTTAACTGAACTGAACCGGTTTAGCCTACTCAAAAAAGTTGTTTGTTTGAAAATTGATTTTGTCTGATTTTAGTATTGGTTAAAAACAATATTTTTGAGAAATCAAACTTAATTTTGTATATCGATATGAATGATTTAAAATTTTGAGATAAATAAAATTTATATTACAAAAAAAGAGGTTGATGTTTAGAGATTTGTTTTGAGTTGAGTAGATTAACTTGGTAAGAATTTTTTATATTTGCCTATTTCTAATGCTTGTGAATAATTTAAAGGTAGATTTTTGATTTTGAATTCCGTAATTATTTGCCGCATTACCCATAATCTTATAAAAAATAGACTTTCGAAATAAAGTTAAATTCGGATTTAAGGGATACTTATGTTTCGTCACCAACGACCAGTAGAGGATTATTTTCTTTTTTGCTAGACGGCAACGATTTTCTGCTAGCTACGAGTATATATAAACTGTTGTATTCAAATTTATTCGAGCATTTTTGCGCATTAAATATTTTTTTTTATATTTTCAAAAATTTCGATTGAAAAATTGCTGCAACGCCATTGCCGTATCTAGTTTTTATGAAAATGTGAAAAAAAATATTGAAAGCGTCAAAAATGCCTTAAGACAAATTTGGGCTTGAGATGAAAATTGTATTTTTTTCTTAAAGGTAATTTGCTAACGAAATGTGTTAAGGGGTCGGGCTATTTCTTTTCTTCTTGGGTATCGTAGAAGCAGCTTCCTTTGCAGCCATTTTATTACCAAAGTGGTGTGAGTTTGTGTGTGTGTGCGTGTGCGTGTGTTGGTGTATTCGTGTGCGAGCGTGTGCCCCTGTATGGGCTTATGTTCTAATGTATGTGTGTGTGTGTGTGTAAGTTGTGTGCCAAATTGGTGGTTGGTTTATGCCTGAAGCTCTTAATATGCGAAACTTGATTTTCTCGTTGGGTTTTGTTTAAAAGTATTTGGTTTGTACAAAACTAAAGATTTATAAAGACGAAACGCAAATTTAAAATTTTGTTCATTATTCGATTTGCGTTTTGTTACACAAAATGAAAAACTATTGCATTGTGTGTGTGAAATTTGGTGGTCAACAGGGGGGGTGCTCGGTACGGGGTTGGAAATGAAGGCTTCTGCGATGCCGTGGAAGAAGAGGGTTTCTTTTTGTTTGTATTATTCGCAGTATGCTAAATGGCTATAATTTTCTTGAGATTTTGATATTTTCGTATTTGGCTGTTAATGGAAAATCGCTGCTATGTACATATTTTTTAATTATTTGTTTTTTTTTTTCGATTTTTTTTTGTTTTGTGTGCAGTTCGCAGCACAAGCTCACCTTTTGACTGGTTTCCATTAGAATTTTTTTTTTGATTTTGTATTTTGCTTTTAAATAATTCTTTGATTTTAGATTGCTCTAAAGAGCGGGGCTTTGAGTTGGAAAGGTTTTCAAAAGTGCAACTGAAAAACGTGACGTTTAAACAAAAGTTCAAAACATACTTGCGAAATTTGGTTTTCGTTGCGCGCTTTTTTGGGTTGTCAAAGGTGCTCTCGTGTTGCGCTCTCCTCGTTATTACACTCTCTTGCTCGCTCGCTCTCGCTCTCTATATTTCTCTGGCTGCGCTCTTGCTGGCAGTAACTGTATGGGTGTGTTGTGCTTGTATTGAATTCGCCGCAGGAACTTGGCTCGTTTGTGTGTCTGTGTGCGTGTGAGTGTGTGTTTGAAGGGCTTCCTGTCTAGGGGTTGCTGCTGGTGCTGCTGCTTTTGTGGGGCAGCCGCCCCAGCTTAGATATATTCAGCTAAATATCTGCGGCGGGGCGACTGTGTCCCCAGTTTAGCTGCTGCCTTAGATAATTGGCTGCTGCTGCCTGCTCCTTTCGCCGTCAAATGCTCTTGATCTTCGTCTTTGTCATCATCATCAGCGCCGTCGCGGCATTTGTGCCATTATTTACGAATGTTGATTTTGTTATTGTTGCTAACTTGAATTTAGGTTTCCTTCCTTGCAATTTTTGTCTGAATTCTGTATGATTTGCTGGCCTGGTCTCTTGTTTGGGGCACAATGCTGCTGGTTTGGTCTGCGGGCAGCCACACTGCAGTTTCTTAAGGCGCTTCGAATTTAGCTGGTTTTGTTGTTTTTGTTGTTGCGTTTTGTTTGTCCATTTACTGAATTGATTGTCATTGCAGTAGAGAAATATGAGCAATAAACATTTTACAATTTGTTTGAGTTTCATAACAATTTTCGGGCAATTGTTTGGAATTTGTTTGCTGTTGTTGCTCTGCGATCCATGCTAATTTAGCTTGAGTTCAGCTAGACGTTTGCTTAGCTTTCGTTGTGGGTCCTATAAATGCACATTTATTTTATAATTTAAAATATATGTTTTTTCACCATTTTTTTTTTGAACTATTCAAAATTATAGCTTATATATATTTTGTCTGACTTACCTGTAAAATATAAAAAATAATATTATTATCTGTGCGTTGCTTCCTTTTTCGTCCTGTTTTTTTTGTTTGGGTTTGCTTTGAAAACTTTCCAATTGTTATCGAGTTGTGTACACTTTTTAATAGATTGAATAAATTTTATAATTCGTTGATGTATATTCTTGATAAAATTAATTTTGTTTTATTTTTTGCGGAGTTTCTTTTTTGCTTGTGCGATGGATATTTAAATTTTACTTTATAATTTTTCCGTCGATTTTTCTTTTCAATCTAATCGCAAAAGTATGTTTAGATTGAGTATTTGGGGTACTTTTGCAAACTGTTTGTGTGTGATTTTATGTTTTTTAAATTTTTGTAAATTGTGTTATAAGATTGTGTAGTTATAAGAGTTAATCTGACTTTTGGTGATGTTATATTTGGTTTTGTTTTTTGAACTTGTGTAATTTTTTTGATTTTGTATCTTTTTTTGGATTTGGGGTTTTCTGGAACGGTTGAAAGTAAACTTGAAAGATATTTTTTTTGTAATGCCGCGTGTAACAGCTTCCTTAGCGCTGCCTAGGCATCGCGCTGCAGGATGGAGGATCTGTTGCTGATCCACAAAGTCCTCGTCTGTTCCTTGTGCCGCTGCTGCTGCTGCTCCTGGCTGCTGATGATCCTCAGCGTTTGAAGATTGAAATGAAACTGATTGATTCTGCGCAGCAGCCGTGGTTTATATACGCAACCAGATTTGTTCGTTAACGGGGATGACGATCAGGATCGGGAGGCTGCAAAGCTTTGTGCATTGTCTGGCCGGATATGGACAATAGGCAACAATGCATTCAAAGAAACCCGTTAGGCTAGTTTATTATAGAAAACCGTTGCTCGGATGTTTGGTAAAAAGTGCGTTTTTCTATTCATGGTGGTGGGTCTGGACTCGCAGCATACAGCATCATCGAGATCGGTTCGGGATCGGGTAGCACACCTGGCGTCGAAAGCTGCAACGGCTGCTGGACCGCGAAAACCAGTTTATCTGCCTGTACTACCCAACGGTTGCGTTCAACATCCTTGAATATCCTTGACCATTTGAACTGCGATTGTCTGGCTGCCGTGATGGGAAAAACTCAAATTTTTAACTGAATTTCTTTTTTCTTCTTTCAGGCAATTTTTGTGCGACCGACAAGATAAGCATCGGAATCGGATTGCTTGGAAACAAGTTTTGCAGTTGTGTACTTTAATTTGTCGCTGCTGAATTTATGGGCAGCACAGGTCTAACGCGGGGCATCCAACTCAATGCTTAGAGTACAAGTAAAGTCCCCCAAGTAAAAAGCTCTTCCAGAAAGATACCTTTTCCAACTTATGGGTCATGCAACCTTTTCTTGGTAGCCAAACGGTCATTTGCCCGGTCGCTGACTTTTTTCCTCCCGCTTGTTGCTTTCGCAAGTTCCAATTTGAGTTTTCATTTTGTTGCCTCGCGTCTCAGGGCATATCAACAAGTTAAGGGTTGGCTTCGATGCGTTTTTTTTCTTTTTTTGTTTGGTTGCCACGTTCATTTATTATTATTTGAAGTTGCCGTTAACCTCTGCTTGGCCCGGGTTGGGCAACGGGTTAGAGGTGGGGTCACGACATTTGCATCCGCGTTCCTATTTGTGTGCGATTGTATTCCGAAATGGGACACTTTGTGAGGCGAGTAAACGTAAGCAGAGCGAGAGAGAGAGGAAAGCGGTCTATTGTGAATGTTGATTTGCTTGAAGTGTGACCAGAGACCTTAATATCGGACTCATGCGATAGTTGATCGCAATGATATAAGCACGCACAAATTCTCCAAAGGGTAAGTTCTTATTATTAATATAAGATAATACTAGAAGCATAATTATTATAGGAAAAACACAGCCTTGAGCTACCGAAAGTAAATGTATTATCAGGTCGGCTCCATAATTTTTCACAATTTTAGTAAAGCTTTGGTTATCATAGGAATCCTTATTGAATGATTAAAACTCTCAATTCCTAGCTAACTGCTTTCAGGTTCCAATTGATTCTGATTTTTGTATTAAATATTAACAAAAAAATTAAACCAGAAAGGTTTTTAATTAGGATTAGAGTATTTAAAAAAAATCAACACGCAATTAATTATTATTCATTTATTATTAAAATTTATGAAAAATTATCTCTTTCAGGAAACTCGGTCATATGCAGTTGCATAGTGGTATTGATTAGAGCTTCGAATTATTTATTCTTTGGAGTAAGCATAGTGTTATTAAGTCCTGTTAATCATCGACAGGTGTAGGAATAAAACAGGTCGAATTACACTTCATATTGACTTTTTACAGTTCCTGTTTGTATACTTATTCCATAATTGAAACTGAAATACAGTTTAAAGCTTCATCATAGTTTAAACAGTTTTTGCATATTTGTATACAACAATAACTTAAACAAAAAATTGTGTGCACACATATATCTGCTTGTAGGTTATTCGTATTTACCCCGACTGAATATTATATTCTTTGCTAATCTTTTTCAAGATATTTTAGTCCCTGCCTTTTAAAACTTATGCATTCAGTTCGGAGAGCTTCTCAATTAGCTAACGTAGCAATTTTCATAAATTTCAAATGGCTGCAAACTTTATGCTGGATGCCCATTTGATTGTTTGCCAATGTAGTACAACTCTTTAGGAGCACAGCCTACGTATAGATGGGTAGCACAGATATGTTTTGGGGGAAAGGGATACACAATTTCTGGCCAAGTCGTTTATGGTCTAACAATTTGGATTGTGAAAATGTCTGCATGTTTGTATGAGTGTGTCAGTATATGTGTGCTTGTGTGTCTGTGGTACAGTTGTGTACAAAATGTGTGCTGCTCCCGAAGAGTTGAAGGCGTCTGTTAGGCTCTTTGGCAGCCTTGTCATAATTTTTGGATTCATCTGTGAACGACGTGTCGGTGGCCTTAACGAAAAGAGAATTTACATATTTCTGTTAATTTTGGAGTGAAGTTAGGTTTATAACGAAGAGGAAACACTTGAAATTTGCATATATTTGCTTCACACACACTCACGTACACATACATGCCGACTTCTACATATGCAAATTTGTGTGCTGCAAAGTTTTCATATAAAATACAAGTGAAAACAGACAAAGAGAAAATAGCTTTGAATGGGGGGCAGCTGGCAAGGGTAAGCACAACAAGGGCAAGGAGGACAACAAGCAATGGCTGTGGCGGCCATTGCCAGGCCCTTACAGCATACCCACTAATACACACACACAATAGAGATACACGCAAAGTGCCTACACAAAAGAGAGCCGCTTTTCAAGGAAACGGATTGTGCGTACCAATGTAGCCAGTTGTGTGTGTGCGTGCGTTTGCGTGGGTGTGCATATGCATATGTGTTTTGTGTAACAGTCAGCAAAAGATACACACACTAAATAAAATTTCAACAAAAGGACATTGCATATTGGGGAGGCAAGTCCAGGGAGCTTCCCGATGCTCGGGCTAAAAAGGCGCCTAAAAATACTCAAACAATTTCTATCTCTCATGCAAGCTCAAGTAACCCTCATTTTGGGCTGGCCAGATATTTTTTCTTTTTGCTGCTTCGATTGTTGTTGCTGCTGTTGGTGTTGGTGTTGCTGATGCTAATGTGGCTGCTGCTGCCCACATTTATGTTACCATAATTTGACTTAAAGGAATAAAAAAAAAAAACAAAGAAAAGTTCCCTTCAAATACGACGCTTGCATACACTTAATTATGATGGAATCGTATGACCTTTAACTATTCTCTTCAGAATTTTTGCCGCTCAATTGTTTTACTTACTTTTTCATATGAACATACATAGAAATATTTAAATCTGATTAGCTTACCTAGCTCCAAGGTCTTCGTATAAATTAAACAGACTTTTTTATTTTGTGAGTCGAGGATCTCGTTGATTGTGATTATTCAAATATTGTGATTGCAGGTAAAGCATATTAAAGACAGTGTATTTTTATCTGTTTGCCTAAATAATAAAAATGGTTTAGAGTAGGTTTATAAAGATATACATAGTAAGGGGATTCTATACTTTTTTTTTTAAATTTTTTATTTATAAAACTAGATAATTATTAATCTTTAACAAACATAACTTAGTTATTTCCATTACATGCTTTTCTTTATTATTTTTTTTGGATTTAAAGGCTTTAAGTTATTGTTTTTTATTATTTGTGCACTTATGATAAAGAAATATTTCAAAATACAGTTATTTGTTTTCTTATTGTACAAAAATAACATACATTTTTATGACAACACATATGGCTTAGATGATGTTTCGTCTAATCTGGGTGGGCTCCTCAGGCGATATTTGTTCCCTTCTTAAGAAATGGATAAATTTATATAAAAAAGGGTTTTAATCCAATAAGAAATATGATAATTTCTCAATTATTAATAGGTTTTATTGAATTAATATACAACATTTTCAGTTCAATTCTTCTAAGCAATACCAAAATATTTTAGTTCGATGCTGAACATTATATTTAAATAAAAATATCCAACGAAAGGGTATATAAGAGCAAGGACACATTACACACACACTGAAGCACACACATATACCCACTCATATATTCATATAGTATGTAGAATTGGGAGCCAACACTTGCTAACCGAATTTCCTGCTGTAGTTTTTCGGCTATGATGGGTTCATTTTTCAGTGCACACACACGTACACACACACATGAAGGCAAGAGGCGACCACTTATGAAGCGAAAGTTGGCAATGTGAGCGTTCGCCCACACTCAGCCCATATACAGATGCGACTGTGTGTGGGTAACGTTCTTTTGCGGATTTTGCAGTCAACTTGGAAGCCAACTGACAAAACTATACGGCTAATGTGTGAGACCAAGTGGGCGTGTATGTAATTGTGTGTGTGTGTGTGTTTGTGCAACTGTATGGGTGTGCATAATGTGTGATTGTGTGGAAATTTTTGGGCAGTTTCATTTCGGTCATATTTATTAGTTGGCACAGACACTGGCACAGATCAAAACAGGACAACAAGATGGTAACAAAAACAACAACAACAACAAGGAAACATCTTTTTTACCCTCGTCAGTGCAAGTTTAAATAATGTGTTGGTATTATGGATTGTGTGCATGCGCATGTGTGTGTGTGTATA